AGAGAACAAGAAAATAAATCTTTCCTAACTATTTCATTCTATGGAGCTGTTAGTTACTGCATCTCTACCACTGATGTCTGTTCCGAAAGTCTTTGATAGTGCAAAGACTTTGCTCAGATTGGGAGGATCCGACACACACCCAACGACACTTTTGAAGGATCCGAGCAACACAGATTCTGACTATTTAATTCAGAGACTGACTTGTATATTAATTTTCTATGAGTGTGGTGGGAGTACAGGGAGGAAAGCCAAAAGCTTTTCCTTTTTTCTTGGAGGGAGACTGGAAAAACCAAATTTCATGTTTCTTGTGAAAATTATGAACGGTATAGTTGACTAGTTTTATGAGCTTTATAAGCAGGATTCAAATCAGTCTCGATTTGCCACTATATGATGGTTTTTTTCCTTTTCTATGGCTTAGGTGACAGAGTCTACTGATTTCAATGAGCTAGCAGAGAAAGAGCCTTGGCTCAACTCGTCAAAGTTGGTTGTAAAGCCCGATATGTTATTTGGGAAGCGTGGAAAGAGTGGGCTAGTTGCCTTGAATCTTGATCTTGCTCAAGTTGCTACTTTTGTGAAGGAGCGCCTCGGCAAAGAGGTAATTCAGATATTCGCTGACCTTGTCTCTTTTGTCAAAAGAACCAAGTGCAATGCTTTATATAGACTATTAGCATATAGATGTATTGCTCACATTTAGTTTTACATTAACAGGTGGAGATGGGCGGATGCAAAGGACCCATCACAACCTTCATTGTCGAGCCATTCATCCCCCACAATGAAGAGTTTTATCTTAATGTTGTCTCGGACAGGCTTGGTTGCAGCGTAAGCTTTTCTGAATGTGGAGGAATTGACATTGAAGAAAACTGGGACAAGGTATGTGAAAAGTTACTGTATTGTTACAAGTTAACAGTAGGTTAGTTAAGTCCAAAGCCCTTTTCATGCATATCTCAATCTAACATATAATCCTTGTATCCAGGTTAAGACTATTTTCGTGCCCACAGGAACTTCTTTTACTTCAGAAATATGTGCTCCACTTGTCGCGACACTACCATTGGAGGTAAAAAGAAGAAAATCAGTAATGCTAGAATACTCTGTCCATTTGTTTTAATAATTTATCCAATTTAGATCTCAAATTTGATCTGGAATTTACTTGTATGTTACAGATTAAGGGCATCATTGAGGATTTCCTCAAAGTGGTTTACACTCTATTTCAAGGTATCTACAAAAAACTTAGTCATTGCTAGATCTTCACAACTTTTTGAATTTTTGTGTAATCCTCTCGACATGTCTGTCTATCAGATCTGGACTTTACTTTCCTAGAGATGAATCCCTTCGCATTGGTCGAAGGGAAGCCTTATCCTCTAGATATGAGGGGTGAACTTGATGACACTGCTGCTTTCAAGAACTTCAAAAAGTAATCTACTGTCTTCATTCACTGATACACTCTATATACTCTACCTAAATTTTAATGGCTAAAAGTTAGTCAATTTTTAGTAATTCGCATATCTACTATCCTACAGGTGGGGAAATATTGAATTTCCATTGCCATTTGGAAGGGTTATGAGTGCTACAGAGAGATTTATTCACGGGCTTGATGAAAAGGTATATCTTGATGGTATTGTATTACTTAATAGAGTTATTGAGAAATTGAAAACTCCTAACTGTCAGCCTCCAACTCCCATTCTTTGGCTGGTGGTAATGGGGAAGGAAAAAATGAAATAAAGAGATTGCATGCCAAAGAGATAAAACAAATTAACCAACTTCTGGTGGTTACGCATTTCAAAAACTTAAAATAAAAAACAAAACAAAAAGTGTTTCGTACATGTTCTTTAAATGGAAATCTTGAGGACTATGAGAATTGCGAGGCAAAATTGTTCTCCAGCTTTATATTGCAAAATATCTGTAACTACATACATGCTAAAGCGTTCAAGTCGTTATCGCAGACAAGTGCATCTTTGAAGTTCACAGTCTTGAACCCCAAGGGGCGAATTTGGACTATGGTTGCTGGTGGAGGAGCTAGTGTCATCTATGCAGATACTGTACATTTCTATCCTTGGAAAATGCTATGCCCTCATATCTTCTTTGATTATCTATTCTCTTGTCTAAACATGCTATGTTACTTTAACAGGTAGGCGATCTTGGATATGCTTCTGAACTTGGGAACTACGCAGAATACAGTGGTGCTCCCAATGAAGAAGAGGTCTTGCAGTATGCCAGAGTTGTAATTGATGTAAGGATAAACTAGTTACATAAACTATGTTTCTGACACAACTAATATCTTACAAAAAAATCATTTATGAGTTTACATTATGCCACATTTTCCGTTTATGCACCCTGAAAGGAAAATTTCACCTTATTGGGAGAAAGATACTGACCCTAATCTCATATTACAGTGTGCCACTGCAAATCCTGATGGCCGTAAGAGAGCCCTCGTTATTGGTGGTGGGATAGCCAACTTCACTGATGTTGCTGCTACATTTAGTGGTATTATTCGAGCTCTGAAGGAGAAGGTATGATAACACAATTGGCTGTTGTTAAATGACTTGCTCTGATATTCAGATTTGCTTACTCAACATTTCTTATGACAGGAATCAAAACTTAAGGCTGCAAGAATGCAAATCTATGTTAGAAGAGGAGGTCCAAACTACCAAAAAGGTCTTGCAAAAATGAGGTCTCTTGGCGAGGAAATTGGCATCCCAATTGAGGTACGTATTAGTTTCAACTAGTAATCTAAAATGACTAGTTTCCTGCTAGCATCAAACGATTGTTATGCTGTAACTTACCGATTGTTGTTAACTTTTGCTTGCTCCAATTTTTGTTGCAGGTCTATGGACCTGAGGCAACCATGACTGGCATATGCAAACAGGCAATTGAGTGCATCACTGCAGCTGCATAAATCAACCAACCTCATTCTCCAAGCTGAACTGTTTTGGTTGTCTTTTTTTTTGCTATGTATTAGTAGTGTCTTGTTGTATGCCACATATAAGTAATTTGATTTGTATCTTTGAAATTTCAAATTTATAGGGCCATGAACAATGATCTCCAGTAATGAATTCAGTTTTCCAATCTCAACATGAAGTCCATCAAAATCCTTGGTTCAAGAATCCTTGTACTACATCTTGTGAGCAGAGTGCACTGAACTTCTATCCTTCTTTAAATTAGAAAGGAAACATCTCAATGTTATACTATTGCCTAAAGGTTTTGTTTTAGTGCTTAGATTCTTTCACATAGTATCAGAGTCAAACTTTATTAAACTCGTTTTATAACACTAACGTGGAGTTGCTTTGGACTTCTTTCTCTCTTAAATCATCCCATTAAGCTACTGAAATTAGTTCAGGGCCACTAATTAACTTATTATGCTTAATATGTCTCCCTCTATTCACGCCTCAAAAAAGAAAGGGAATCTTACATAAATGTCCCAAATAAGTTGTAATTTTCCAACCTCTAGTCATTAATTATAGATTTATCAAAGCTAGCCAAGCACATATAAAAATTGAAAACTCAAATAAATAAGGTTCTTTTTCTCTAAGAATCACACCCAAGATCTCCTTCCATATTTTAAAGTGTGATTAGCAACATTAGATGCAAGAAGGAAAAAAATAATTCATGGATGAGGTAGCAAATAAGGTGATGAAATACATATATATGTATATATATATATATATNGAAAATTGGAGGTGATTTGGACTGATTTAATATCAAAATTCGTAGTTAAAATTGAGTTCAATATTTTTTTCCGCGACACATGTATCACACATAGAGGTTTACATGAATATACATGTGATACACATTTGATACAAATATGATACATATGTGATATACAAATAATACACATCATTTGTTTTTCATATTTAATCTTCTACTTCGAATTTTTAATTCAAGCCACCTCAAAACTCCTCTAAATTATCCCAAAACCGAGATTCAAGCTCCTTAAAATGTACTCAATCTATTCTAATAACACCCACTCAAAAGAAAGCAAAAATTTGACCCCTTTTTAGCTACAAATAACTAATTGGCTAACGTTAGTAATCTTTAATAAATTGACCAAATTTTGTAATAAGCTACTTATAAATGGACCTAACTGGTAGTTTCCCAAAAAAAAAAAAAAAAAAAATTTATCAGTCCGGAAAAGGATAAAAGAATAAGAAAAAGAAAGAAAAAGAAAAAGTTACTTCAATAAACAAAATAAGGACAAAATACCATTTCAATTTATGTGTCTTACTTTCCCTTTTAGTCTATTTAAAAAAGAATGTCTCTTTCTATATTTAGTAACTCCTTAACTCCAACTTTCCATATGGTATATGTAAGACTACAAGATTCAAGTATACTTTGGTACATTATAAACATCTTTAGTTTGAGATCACAAGATTTAAAATTCTTCCTTGCTTTCTTAAATTTAATGGGCAGTCAACTTAAGACACATAAATTGAAGCGGAATGAGTAATAATTTTGATCAATCAATGGTTACACATGTAGCATAGTTTGTAAATCTATGGTTGATTTGGGAATCAACCCTATATTGATGTGAAAAAGATAGAAGGAATGAAGAAGAAGAGAGGAACTCTATTATTATCAGAGAAGAAAGAAAAGTTCCGATTACGCTGTTTTAGTAACTACCACTATTTATAAGATGAGCTAATGACAAGCTTAACTAACTAACTATCTAACTATTTACAATAATGCCATCTTTATTTAAGTAACTCCTATTTCCACACCCCCCCTCAAGCTCGTAGGTACAAAAATATTAAGTACTCCCAGCTTGCCAGTCAATGACTCATGTTGTATTCTGGTAAGCCCTTTTGTCAATATGTCTGCTAATTGATCTTTTGAAGCAACATGTTGTGTTCTGACCAGTCCTATTTGTATCTTCTCCCTGATAAAATGGCAGTCTATTTTAATATGTTTAGTTCTTTCATGATATACTGGGTTACCAGCTATTTGCAAAACTACTTTGTTGTCACAATACAAATCAACTGGTAGTGTTACAACTGCTCCTAATTCTTTTACAGTCCAACCAACCAAACAGCTTCAGAGACAACACTGGCCATACTCCTGTATTCAGCTTCTGCTGAGCTTTTTGATACAATGTTTTGCTTCTTGGATTTCCATGAGACCAATGATTTACCATACTTGACCAAAAAACCTGATACTGATCTTCTTGTGTTAGGACATGATGCCTAGTATGCATCACAGAACACAGAGATTTTGTCTGACTTCTCATTGTTGAACAACACTCCTAGTCCTGGTTCCCTCTTTATGTACCTAACAACCCTCATAGCTGCATCCCAATGAGAATTTTTAGGTTGTTGAAGGAACTGACTAAGTGTTTGGACTGTATATGCTATGTCAGGTCTTGTTAGAGTCAAGTACAACAACTTTCCTATTAATCTTTGATACTGCCCCTTATCTTCAAGCACACTATCATTTTCATTGCCTGTCAGCTTGTCATACTATGGTATAGTCAGCTTCACATTAATTTCAAGAGGTGTCCAAGATGGTTTGGCATCTCCCAGCCCCAACTCAGATATAATCTCCAAGGCATATTTTCTTTGATTTACCAGAATACCTCTACTCGACCTGCTGAATTCCATTCCAAGAAAAAACTTTAGCTCTCCTAAGTCTTTAATCTTGAATGCTTTGTGCAAAGAATCTTTTGTTGCCTGTATCAGTTAATGATTATTTCCAGCAATTAGCATATCATCAACATAAATAAGAATAACCACTATATCACTTTGATGTTGTTTAATGAACAATGAATGATCAAGACTACTTTGCTTGAAACCTGACTGCACTAAAGCTTCAGTCAATTTTAAATTTCATTGTCTGCTAGCCTGCTTCAACCCATACATGGATTTAATAAGTCTACAATCTAGCTTAGATTTGCCAACCGTCTCCCCCTAACTTGAAAATCCCTGTGGTAGCTCCATATGAACCTCATCATCTAGATCTCCCTGCAAAAAGGCATTGTATACATCCATCTCTTGGATATGCCAGTTCTGCATAGCTGCTAATGAAAGTACTATCCTAACAGTAGCAATCTTAGCGACAGGGGAGAATGTTTCATTATAATCCAGTCATTCCTTTTGACTATAGCCTTTGGCTACTAGTCTGGCTTTAAATCTTTCTATTTCTCCATCAGCTTTAAGCTTGACCTTGTACACCCATCGATACCCAATGGGAGTGTTCCCTGGAGAAAAACATACCAACTCCCAGGTTTTTTTAGCTTGTAATGCTGCAATTTCTGTCTACACTGCTTCTATCCACCTAGCATCCTTACATGCTTCATAAAAAGATGTAGGTTCAGATTTTGCTGAAAACCCCCTAAATAAGCTTTATGAGAGGAAGATAGTTGATCATATGAAAGATAGTTAGCCATAGAATGGGGCTTCTTAGCTGGCAAAGGCACTACATAATCTATCAACCATAATGGTTGTTTAGTCACTCGTCTAGATGTAAATAGCAGGTTCTTCAAAGATCTCATCCTCATTTGCTTGTGTAGGAGGTACAATACTGTCTTGATGAGAATTGGACTCTGCATTAGTGTGGGAGGAACTAGGTGAAGCATCATATTGCTCTTGATAGTCAATAGATGAGGCACTAGGAAGATTGGCATCAATGGGCATAATATGAGACTGTATATTTGTTCTTTGTAGATCATCCTCTACAGAAGCCTGGGGCTGCAATGCTTCTTCTATAGAAGTAGGAATGTTAGAATCAATATATGCAAAATAAGAAGGATGGTTAGGAAAAACACCTTCCTAGCAGGAAGTTGGCAAAACAGGCCCTTCAATATCTTTGAAAGGAAAGACTCCTTCTTTGAAAGTGACGTTCCTGTTGATAAAGAACTCATTTTTCTCCAAGTTGTATAAAAGGTATCCTTTAGTAATATTAGAATACCCCATTAACACTGCCCTAACTACCCTAGCACTGAACTTATCTTGTCTAGGTAAGACACTAGCATAACACAAACATCCCAAAGTTCTCAGATGAAGCATGCTTGGTCTTTTCCCATGAAACAATTCATAAGGTGATCTAGCTTGTAACACAACTGAAGGTAGTCTATTGATAATATACACAGCTGCCAAAACACAATGTCCCCAAAATCTCACAGGAATATGCCCCTGAAATCTAATAGCCCTTGCCACTTCAAGAATGCGTATATGCTTCCTCTCAGCTACTCCATTATGCTGAAGAGTGTAGACACATGTTCTTTGATATACTATTCCCAACTCTCTTAATAGAGTAGTGAAGTTATGATTCACAAACTCACCCCCATTATCTGACCTCACTGTCTTTACCATAGTACTAAATTGAGTGTGTACCATTTTAAAAAAATCTCTTAATATAATGACTACATCACTTTTGAATTACAGCAGAAAAATCCAGGTTACACGAGAATAATCATCAACTATTGTTAGAAAATACTTATTTCCATCAATAGTAGAAGTGTTATAAGGTCTCCAAATATCTAGATGTAACAGTTGAAAATTTTCAATACTCTTACTATCACTAGAATGAAAAGGCAGTCTTGTATGTTTAGCTAAAGGACAAACATCACACTTATCTATTACATTTTTATAATTTTTAATAGGCAATCCAAGAATCTCTTTCATGGCTCCTCCAGAAGCATGTGCTAGCCTTCTATGCTATAGAGAAACATCAAGCCCTTTCTCATGTGCACTTAATCATTTACTCATTTCTTCTCGTTCATCTACAGGTAAGAAGAGGTACAATCCATCTTTCTCTTTACCAATCCCCTTGATCCTCCCACTTAAGAGGTCCTGGAATAGGTAAAAATGAGAGAAAAAGGTAACTGAGCAATGAAGGTCTGTAGTTACTTTAGAGACTGACATGAGATTGTACTGAAAATCAGGCACAAATAACACATTCTTCACTACCTGTCCCTTAGAAATTATGCAATCACCTATATGTGATACCAAATTCACTTGATCAGTAGGCATATACACCTTCCTACAGCTCCATGAGTCAAGTCTTTTAATATTCTATAACATGCTTAAGTCTGATATCATATGTTTAGTTGCCCGGTGTCTATGATCCATTCTTTTCTAGCTTTATTAGCCATAAATGATTGCATCATACCTGCCATGTTAGCCATTGTGTTCTATGGAACATCTTTGTTCAGCATCATCATGATCTGATTGTATTGATCAGCTGTGAACTGTGGTGGCCTAGGAAGCTCACTCATGTGTCCCTTGTCTGTTGCTTCAATCCTTCCTACATTAGACCCTGTAATATTAGGATTGTAATTCTCAGCATTCATATTGTAAGCAGTATTAGCAATGGCTCTTAGTCCTCTTTTCTTGTACTTGAAATTAGCAGGATACCCTACTATTTTATAACATGTCTCCTTAGCATGTCCTTTCATCTTGCAGAAATCACAATGAAGATTCTAATTCTTCTTTGGTCTATGATTTTGCCCTTGAAAATTTCCTCATTTTGCAGTCATGAAGGTTGTGGCTTCTGAACCCTCATTCATCATAGACACATTAGAGACAGATCTTTGACTTTCTCTCTCAATGATCATTGTATATGCTTTACTAACATTAGGAGTAGGATTTGTCATAAGAATCTGACTCCGCGCTTGCTCATAATTCTCATTAAGCCCCATCAAAAACTGCATCAACTTCTGCCTATGTAGATGTTTAACGAACTCTCTGTCACGACAAGCTGGAATCATACTCTCATACTCATCCCAAAGTTACTTGAGCTTAGTAAAATATGTTGACACACTGTTAGAGCCTTGGTGCAATGTTCCCATCTCCTTGTGCAATTGATAAATTCTAGATGCGTTGACTTTATCAAAACGCTCCTTCAAATCTTCCCAAACTCGACATTCATTCTTAGCATGCACTACTCCTGTCATTAATTTCTTCGAAACAGAACTCATAATCTATCCCAAAACAATTGCATTACATTTATTCTATTGATGACCTAAATCCTCTTTGACATCTTCTCTCTTCAGTGTACCGTCAATTAATCCTAACTTGTTCTTACCTAAAAGCTGGATTCTCATTGCACGGCTCCAAATTGAGTAATTGTCGGATCCGGTCAGCTGAATTGACATAATCGGAGCTCCGGTTGTGTCTGAAGGATGTAAATACAATGTATGATTGTGATCGAGATCTGCGTTCGCCATTGTCAAAGAAATAGAGGGTTTTCAGTATGAAAATGAACAGCTCAATTGATCGATCTAACTACTGGATCTGTAGATTCATCTCACAATCATGGCTCAATCGCTCTAATACCATGTAAATCTATGGTTGATTTGGGAATCAACCCTAGATTGATGTGAGAAAGATAGAAGGAATGAAGAAGAAGAAGAGAGGAACTCCGTTATTATCAGAGAAGAAAGAAAAGTTCTGATTACACTGTTTTAGTAACTATCACTATTTATAAGATGAGCTAATGACAAGCTTAACTAATTAACTATCTAACTATTTACAATAATACCATCTTTATTTAAGTAACTCTTATTTCCACATAGTTTTAGAGAATACACTTGTCTCGGCTAAGTTCCCAAGGGATACTTATATATTGACGAAACCAAGCCGTTAATCCCTTAAATTGTTGTGATGCGATCTCCACCATTGAACGAGTCCAGATCAACGGCTCTCCACCTCTTACCTTCCCCACAACAACTCCTAATTTTTCATAAAATATGTACGTAATATCTTAAAATTATGCTTATACGCTAGCAATTATGAAGATATAAGAATTAAAAAAAATTAATAAACTACAAATAGTCGGTCAACTTCATTTTATTGGCACAAATCTCTGAAGAGAATCAATTAAGCTAGTCAGTCAACTTCATTTTATTGTCATAGTTTGTTGCTTCTACTCTATTATACTCCACATAAACAAGTGCATTAATTTTAATAGTTAGCTAGGCAATGCAGACCACTAATGATAAATTCTTCCTCTCCTCCTCCAAAATGATGTTTTCTTAGTCTCGTTTTGTCAACTTCCATTGATGAGCTTTTCTTTTGGATCGATGGTTTAACCAAAGTGAGTGTATCCTCTATGGTCTACTTATATAGTTTTAGATAATACTCACCTCATTAGCTTAATCTTTGGAGTTAGAGTTAGGCTCAAGGTCCATTTTCTTAATATTGTGTTAGAGTTGGACTCATCTCTATTCTTAATTTACCTAATATGTTGCTCCCATGTTATATTGTCCATGCTCTATCGTCTCAATCTTGAGGGTGCATCCCATATAGGTTAAAAGGGCAGCTCGGTGCACAAAGCATCCTGCATTCACGCATAGTATATAAAAGGGATGTACCCAGGGGCGGATCCACCCCTTTAGGAAGGGGTGGCATGACACCTGCTAAGATGATAAATTTTTTATATACATATGTTGAAATTTTCTTAAATTAGGTTAAATATCTGATCCTGCCACTTGCAGTCATAAACTAGACAAAGGTGCCATGACTGGTAGACCTTTTTGAAAGCTTTTCTCGTGTGTAAAATTCAAGTTGGAATTTATCTTGAACCTTGTCCGACTTCCCCCTTTCTTTGTGCTTTTTATTTAATTTCCTTTTATCCAAGTCATTTTCCTTTTCGGCTACCTCCCAATTTTCTATTTGTCGTTTATTATTTTTTATATTTTTCTTCTCTATTCTATTGTTTTATATATGGTCTCTAGCAAGAACACTCAAAAAAGAGACTCCAAAACTTTAAAATCATATAAAATAAGTATTCCTCTTAATCTTAAATTTATGAGTTTTCTTATTTCAAATCCGAAAAATTTGGGTCTTAATGGAAATTTTGGATTGAGATCAAATTTTTCCATCTTTTTTTTATTATATCATAAAAATTGTGTTATTATATGGTTCTTAAATATAATTTAAATCTCTTTACTATTAAATTATGGTGAAAATTTTGTAAACATTGCTTAAAAAAATATGAGGTTTATGATTTTGATTTTTGGGAACTTGTAATTTATTTAATTTTATATTATGGGGCATAATACCTATTCAAG